ATAAACAAAGGTGACTTGAAGTAAATGCAATTGGTGGAGATGAAAAAATTCACTGAACTGCTCATCATCCCTCCACAGATATAATTGACCTATAACACTGTATAAGTTTAAGATGTACAATGTTTTTGAATTGCTAATTATAACTGGTATTTATAAATCTAAAAATGTAAATATTTTTCTGTTAAGTACAGAAGATGGCTACCCTTTCTTTAACAAAATACAAGCCATCAAAGTTTTCAGAAGTATTGCTTTTGTTGATTCAAGTGTAAGGAAAAAGCAAAAATACAAATAAGCTAGGACCATTAGAGATGTATTTGAGTCAGTATTTACAAGATAATTATGTTCCTTGTTTATATATGCTAATTGGTCAATAGTTATATTCAAAGTACATGACCTATTAGTGTAAGTTTCCTTCAAATGTAGAAAAATATAGAATAAAAAATTGAGTTTGTTATGTTTAAGTTCTTATTAAAATTTATTTAGAAACTAGTGACCTGGTGCACAAAATTCATGCATATTAAAAGGGGATTAATTAAGAGAAATAATTTAATATTGCTATTTGCCTTTCTCTATAATAGAAGTATCAGAGATTAAAGAAAATTAGTAAAATGTATATGAAAACCTTCCTCCTGTCAGAGTCTGGGGCACACCCTGAGACCCAGGGTCAAGTCCCTGCCCACCTACATGCACCTCAAAGTCACATGAGACCCAGACCCTGCCGGCCCTCTCATTGGGCTAGATCCAGACCCGGCCAGTCCCACCCTTGTTAAGCCCTGCCGGGCAAGGGGTATAGCCTCAGGTCCCCTGGCCCGGTGCCAGGATGGGGGTGTGTGGCCTGAGGTGCCCAGACCGTGGTGGGGGGAGGTGCCTTGAGGTCCTCCATCAAGTCCCGCCAGAGGGGTTGGGGGGGTGCAGCCTCACATCCCCCAACCCAGCACCGAGAAGGGGGTGCAGCCTCAGGTTCCCCGTTAAGCCCCTCTGGGTGGGGGGCATGGCCTGTCAAGCCTAGCCAGGCAGGGGTTGCAGCTTCAGGTCCCCTGGCCTGGTGCTGGGGCAGGGGGAGCAGCCTGTGGTCCCCTAGCCCAGCACCAGGATTCGGAACACACTTTGAGATCCCCTGTCAGGCCCTGCTGGGTGGGGCATGGCCTGACATCCCCTTTCAAGCCACACGCGGGTGGAGGAGGGCGTAGCCTCAGGTCCCTGCTGATTGCTGGTTAAGGCTCCTTATGGGAACTTGGCCTCAGCTGTGGGTGCAGCCATCTTTGTGACAGAGTGATGGTTAATTAGCATATTCCCTCTTTATTAGATAGGATTATTTTCCACTATTTCTTTATCTTTGCTTCTTGTAAATGATTTAAAAAATGAGACATCATAGACTGGAGAGTATCATGCTAAGTAAAATAAGTCAAGAGAAAGACAAGTATCACATGATCGCATTCATATGTAGGATCTAAGTAACAAAATAAACTGATGATCAGAGTGGACCCAGAGACATGGAAGCATGGAATAGAGTACAGAATCTCAGCGGGAAGGAGGAGAGTGGGTGGGTAGGAGGTAATCAACCAAAGATCTTGTATGCATATATGCATAACCCATGGACACAGACAATAGGGTACTGAAGGACTGGGGGGGCAGTGGGAAGGACTGGAGGGATTCAATGGGGGGGGGGATGGGGGCATATGTAATACTTTCAACAATAAAGAAAAAAAATTTTTTAAGTATGAAAAAATAGCCCTGGCCGGTGTGGCTCCGTTGGTTGGGTGTTATACTGTGCACTGAGAGGTCACTGGTTTGATTCCTGTTCAGGACACATGCCAGGTTGCAGGCTCCATCCTTAGTTGGGGGCATAGAAAGCAGCAGATTAGTGCTTCTCCCTCTCCTTCCCTCTGTCTTTAAAGATTAATAGAAATCTTTTTAATAAGTATATGAAAAAATAGAGCAGGTCCATTGGTAATGACTGTTTTCCAGTCTTACTTATCTCACATAAGCCATCGAGGAGAGAAATCAGGATCCTTTCTTATAGACTGCTTTTGACTTTCAATAATAGAAATATCTCAAATGGGGAAAGGTCAGTTTAGGGCAGAGGGAATGTGGCTCAATAATGTTATCAAGGACACAGCTTGCTTCCACCTCTCTGTTATCGTGCAATCTTGGTTTCATGCTCAGGCTAGTAGCAAGAGTGTTAGCATTACATGTAAACATCCAAAGGAAGAAGAAGGAAAAAAAAGCACATTTCTCTTTAAGAGTGAGACAGCTTTTCCCAGAATCACCCCTTCTCCTCCAGCTCCTTTCTCTCTAGCCTTCTTGGCTAGAATTGCCCCACATGCTCATTCCTGAACTAATACCTTGCGAAAGGAATAGGATTACACTTAGATAATTCAGAATAGAGGTTGCAGATAATGTCAGTTATCCTAAGGCACGTTGGCCTCGGGGAGAGGTATGGGCACCTGCACAATACTGGGATTCTGTTGGGTAGAAGGGGCTGCTAACATATTAGGTAGGCTACTGTGGCCACAGCAGTTCCATGCAGGAGCTGACATATTTTCTAAGATGTATGAGTGGGATGAAGTGAATGAAATGTATGTCATTGGGAGATGAGCACAAGATCGGTGCTGCAGACTGGGACTACGATAAGTCTCAGGAATGAAGCAGTGACCAATGGATAACAGGAGAAAACACGCACACACACACACACACAAAAAAAAAACACCGCCAAGGAATGAAATGATGCAACTGGAGTGGGAAAGCTGTCTAGAGCTGGCTCCCAGAACCTTTCTGGTTAGGATTTTTCTGCACATTTAGAGTAAGTCGACCAGTTCTTCCCACTAAGATCTGGTCACTTTAATTTAGAACCCAGAACGAGAGCTGTGGGCAGAACCAGGATGAAGAAGAATGTGGTATTGAGAGGAAGCAAAGGGAGACAAAGGGAGAGAAAGGAACCATTTAAGTTCCTTTTTTCTCCCCTAACAGAAATCCGTCCTTAATAATTTCAAACTTAATAATTTGCACACTCTCCCTTTCTGGTTGCCCAACCAGGACCAACATTGAGGAAGATGGCTGGGGTAAGCTGTTTTGGTTATTGTCTCTTTTGGATGATCCTGCACACTTGGACCAAGCTGGAACTGCAACAGTCCTTGGAGGGGAGAAACAGGGGACACCATGTCAAAATCTTCTTCCATGTGCAGCTGCAAACGTTTGATAGGCATATCAAGGGAATTCGAGTTTCAGTTTGGAGAATAAAGAACATTTTTATTTATATATCCCAAGGATGGGATAAAGGAGAGTAGTGTGTGGTTGGGACATATGACCTGGGTCCCTGTCTTAATAAAATCACAACAGGTAAGGCCAATACTTGCTTTACAGGATACTGACCAATACCGGCAGTCCGATGAAATACGATGCTCCCAGTAAATAGAAAGATCAAAGCTGCAAATCAGAGTTCTGTGTATACTTCTTTGTGTAAAAGGATGATTGCTCACCAGTATGAGTACTTAATCTACCATCTTAAGAGTAAAATTCAGAAGGGAAAAAAAAATGAGTTTTAATTTCCATCATTTCCCCCTTCCCTTTGTGAAATTTCAGCACATCATCATTCACAGTTTCCTACCAATGTCAAAACCACACACAATAAAAATTGATAATGCAAATTAAAATAAGCCAAGAAGTTATTTTTTTATTACTTATATTTATGGGACAACATTTGTTTCTTTGCATCTCCACGTTTCTTTGCGTCTCAACAAGTGGGAATCCAGGTTTGAAACTGTTCACTGCTGGTGAAGGAGGAGCCAACCGAGGCAGGGGCATCATCTTCCTAAGCTGATTGCCATCCTCAGAAAAGCTGGGAGCTAACATTATGAGTAAGGCATTGATTGAGGAGCTGCTCTGCGTTTGGCTAGGTCTTTCCCCAGCACCGGAACAAGTTCCCACGGAGAGTGGGTGCAACTGGGAATTAAAGGGAACTCAGGATTCAAACACGACACCTCCTTTCCCCCAAACCAAAGCGTATCTGTCGCTGATATCAGATCATTATGCTCCTTGATTGTTAGGGATTCAAAACAAAACAAAACAACAACAAAACACACACACACACACACACACACACATTCCTTTGTTATACAATAGTATCCGTTTCTAAATCTATGTAGTGAATTCCATGTGTTCACTTTCACACGCAACTTTTTATATAACTGTGGCATGGTGGCCCAAGGTACCAAACAAAGCAAGTGATTCAAATAAAAAGTTTAAAAAAATCTAACAAATTAAAACTCAAGACATCTAATGTGGGTATGGCAGAAACACGCCAACACCTTGGGGGCGGGGCGGGGGGGAGGGCCGGTTGGGAGATTCGAACCGAAACAGCAACGTCGCGCATCCCACCCGGTCCCGCAGCGCACGGCGTGCACGCGAGCCCTCACACCTGTGCAAACCGAGCCCGAGCCCAGCGGCTTTGTCTCCCCGACAGAGCTCCGCCCCGCGGCTCTCGCCGTTTGGAAAGAGCGAGGCCGCCCGGGGAGCCCCGGCAGCCCCTGCGGCGGCGCCCCCGGAGCGGCCCACCCGGCGGCACGGCCCCCACCCCCGCGCGCCGGGCCCTTTAAGCGCCGCGCGCGCCGCCGCCCCGCCCCCCGCCCCTCGCGCGCCGCGAGCCCGGGCCCCGCGCCAGCCGCCGCGCCTCCCGCCGGGTTACGTGCGCCCGGGGCGGGCCCCCGGCAGGCCAATGGCCGCCGCCGGGGTGGCCGAGCTCCTCCCGCGCCGCGCCGCCGCCGCCGCCGCCGCCGCCGCGGTGGAACTGCGGGCTCCTCCCGCAGGAGATAACTGTCAGCGCGCGAGGCGGCGGCGGCAGCGGCCCGGCTCCGTCCTATGAGCGGCCGCCGGCGGCCCCGGCCCCGAGCACACGTCCTCCCGCCGCCGCGATGGCCCCGCCGCCGCCGCGGCCGCCGCCCCCGGCTGCGCGCTGAGCCGCCGGCCCCGGGAGCGAGCGCCCCGGCCGGGGCCGCAGCATCATGGCCCCGACGCTGCTCCAGAAGCTCTTCAACAAAAAGGGCGGCAGCGGCGGGGGCTCGGCGGCGGCGTCCGCCCCGGGCAGGGCCCCCAAGGAAGGAGCCGCCTTTAGGTGAGGGGGCGCCGGGGGCCGGGCTGGCGCGGGACCCGCTGGGCCGCCGCGGTGCCGGGCGGCGGGGGCGGGAGGGGAAGGGGATGGGCCGCCCGGGACGTCGCAGCCCGCCGCCGGCGCGGGGTCCCCGGCTGGGCGTCGTGAAGGCGACGGGTCCGAGGGTGGCCCCGAAACCTCGGTGACCACGCGGGTCCCCCCATCTCTCTCTCTCTCTCTCTCTCTCTCTCTCTCTCTCTCTCTCTCTCTCTCTCTCTCTCTCTCTCTCTCTCTCTCTCCCCACGTCTCCGGGTCCCTCCCTCCTCCCAGAGTTGTTCCTCGGGGCTCCCGGGCGTGCGCGGGCTTGGCCGGGGAGGTGGGGCGCTGGCCGCGAATGGGGGTGAGCCCCCCGCGGGCGCCGCGGAGCTGGGAGCTGTCATGGGGCGGGTTGACCAGCTCCAAACCCATTGTGGGCGCGCCAGGGCTTTTGAAGTTGTTGGAGGAGCAACAGTCCACGAGGAAGGGTATCTTCCTTCTTGCTTTGCTGGCTTCCCCCCCCCCCCCCCCACACAAGCTCGCAGACGGTGAATACAAGCGTGTCATTCCCACGCCGTCGGGAAGGCGGGTGCCGTGCGATGCTGGAGACGGGGGTGGGGGTGGGGGTGACATGCAGTTCGCAGACCGGGATTTGGGTTTGACGGAGCTGGTGCAGGCCGTTCACACGTGCGGGGAGCTCACCCCTTTGCGGAGGAGCAGCTCGCACTTGTGAAGCATGAAAAAGACCCGAAATGCTCCATGTGGATTGCGCGTCTGTTTCTCCCAGCCGCTCGCGCGGTGAGGTCGGTGCTGTTACAGTTCCCGTCTTACCGACCAGAAACCTCGTCACGGCACGGGGAACTGGAAGCGGTGTGCCCGAGATCCGCAGCTGCGTTTGGCCGAGCCCGCGTCTTGACACCAAGATCCAGTCTTTTAAAATGTTGTCGCTCTTCTGCTTTCAAGGGCTAACTTTGGAAAGACGCCTCAAAATGCACTCTTAAGTTGGGAGGTTCATTTGCTTACTTTCAACAGGTTTTTTTCTTCTTTTTCTTTTTTTTCTTTTTCCTTTCCCAACAATTTTTTTCTTATGGAGCATCTATTTCCAACTGTAACACTCTGCTAGGGCTCTTTGCCCAAAATGTCTTGCAAAAGTATCTTATTACTAAACGGGTCAAGCCCCAATGTAGTAAACCTTTTAAAAGTTTCAAGTGCATGAGTACATTTTATTATTAAGTTTCGTATTCTAGATTTTGCTTTTCTGGAATCCCATTCTTTTACAACACGCACAGCCCCTCACTGCTTTTATATGAACATTAAATACCAGTAAGTTTGTATTTGTGGGGTGGGGATGGGTATGTGCTGATGTTTGGAAGGTAAAATTGTGAGGACTTTGAACGGCCTTAGTTAACGTCTCATATTTCCTTTCGGCTAACAGAATCCTTATAACTTGAGTAGGGAATTCTACTCCTTTCATTGCCTTGAGTACTAGTGATGCTGTGTTCCCTCTCAGAATGGTAGAATTACTTCAGACTCAAGGTGTGTAATTTCTTCTCTCCCCTTTTAGTAACCCAGACTCAATCAAGGGAACAGAGCCTGCAGAGAAAAGGGCATGTGTGTTGCAGGTGTTTTTACTTGGGCAGCCATCTGTCAAAGGCATTTGAAGCCATTTCAGTGCTAGTGGAGGTAGTGGAGTGACATTGTGCTCTCTTCCCCGTTGCCCACCATCATTTCCTCCATCCACAAGTGTAAGTGTAATTTGAACAAAAAAAATTGTGGCTGTATTTAGGGAAATACAATACATTAGGGAAATTGATTCCCACTTGGTGGGAATGCTGTCAGTGTGGTGTTCTGACTTTCCATTGGTAGTTCTGATGAAGGACACAAAGTTGTACCAAGGACTGTTTCTGTTGTTTTGTTTTTTAAATTGACCTCATTAGGATTTTCTACAAGTGTTTATGATAGAGGTCTTTGGGAGAATAGGTGATCTCTCACTGAACATCTCACTTGATGACGGCTCTTCATCTAGGGGTCATGTGAAACAGCAGCCGCCAGTCAAGACCCAGGAAATGACAAATCACACCCAAGCAAGTCTTTCCTCCTGCTTTTTACCTGGCTTAACTCTTCTCCTGCAAAATAATGACCCTGTGCTTCATCTTAGCCAGATTTATCCAAATAGGAGCTAGTATGTGCTTTTTGAAGACTGGAATGCCACAATACAGGATATTAGCTGCCCTTGGAAGCCCACTTTGTAGTTGAATAGATTTCAAGAAATTAAGATAAAATTGTCAGCCCAGGCCAGGTTGAGCGTTGTCCCATGCACTGAGAGGTCTCCAGTTCAATTCCTGGTCAGGGCACATGCCTGGGTTGCAGGCTGGATCTCCAGCAGGGGGCATGCAGGAGGCAGCCAATAGATGGTTCTCCCTCTCAAATCAATAAAAACATAATTAAAAATAGAAAATATTTAGGTTAAAAATCTAGTATTTTTAATATGAATTTGAATTTATATTCTTCAGTGCATTTAAATACATGATGTAAATTGTAGATCTTAAGAGTGAAAGGGCCCCTGAAGATTCAGGTAGACTTTCTGGGCAGTTTTATAGCATGTACTAGAGGCGTGGTGCATGACATTCGTGTACGAGAGGAGAGTCTCTCAGCCTGGCCTGTGCCCTCTCACAGTCCCGGACTCCTTGGCACTGCAGCGGAGGCAGGAGAGGCTCCCCCCATCACTGCTGTGCTCAGCAGCCGTGAGCCGGCTTCTGGCTGAGTGCACTGATCACCATGGGGCAGCTCCTGTTTTGAGGTTCTGCCCCCTGGTGGTCAATGCACATCATAGTGACTGGTTGTTCTGCCGTTCTGGCCCACTTGCATATTAGCCTTTTATTATATAGAAGGATTGCTATATATTTTAAAGAAAGATCTAAGTAAAAAGAAGGTTTGCGCACATGTACGCACGCGTGCACACACACACACATATTTTTGTTGTAGAGTTTGTGGAAGCCTATTATATATTTTTCTTTCTGTGATAGACTTGGACTAGTTGTTTTAAACTTTCCTCCATGTCTCTAAAGTTTTGCCCTTTATCAAGTTTTCCCCTGGATGTTACTCTGTTCATTCTTAGGCACTTCCTAGTTGTTTCCCTGGGTTTCTTACTATTCTCTCAATATAAGCAGCTTATTTCAAAGGTCATTTTCAGATCTTCATGTTTTCTGGCATTCTATTTAAAAAGAGGATCGTCACAGTCAAGATTCCTTCCTTAAGTGTAAATCTTTTCAGATCTTGCCAAAAAGCCTTTTTCATAGCTTTGAGGAAAGGGGTTCCTAGGGAAACAAAAGGAATCAAAGAGATTGAATTTACATGTTTGGGAGAAATAGTTAGGAACAATATATAATTAAGATATTTGTGAAGTGTAAGCCCTATTTAAAGTTATAAAACTGCATTGTGGTCTTGAAATTTGAGAAAATTCTCTATTTGCTGATCTTCAGAATGCTTTCACTTTTAATTAAGTGATACATAAATATATTTTTGAATAACTCTTTGTTCCATAAGGATAAATTAGAACAACAAAAAAAGATTATTTGTCTAGTGGTTCAAATCAGAGGTAGCATTGGGTTCTTGGTTACTTTGGATTTAAGGTCAACTTGTTTAGGAATTTTTAAAAGCCAAGATATACTCAGTGACATGCACATCTGGTTCAAGATTGAAGTTTGATCTTAAAGGGTTTTCTTTAAATGTCTCTGGTGAATTACTGGACTAATTTCCACCTAAAATGTATATGCAGCTGGGAAACTTATTGGCACACTCCTTACATTCTTGTTTTGAAAAAGATCATGGGTTAGCAAATGTTTTATTTTGGACCAGTTGAATGAAGTGAATAAGCATATATATCATGTGGATATAAGCATTTCAGCTCCTTAGTAGCTAGTATCTAGAAAAAGTACTCTCCACTCCTCCCCTCTAGTCCTGAATGGCCTAGTTAGTGCTAATTCACATTCTGTTAGAACAACTTTAAGTAATCTGTTACCAGGCTAGTATAAATATAATTTAATCCACTCGTCATCGTTATGGAATAGCATCTGAGGCTCATGTGCTTGTGGTTTTGTGCTCCACCTGTACAATCCCTCCTACTGGGATTTGCTATCTAAAGGACAACAGTTTATATACCAGGATGAGTATATAGCTAGTAACACTTGGAAACTCTAACAAGAAGATAATTCAAACACTGAGAAAGACTACATCTCTACATTAAATACAGCATTAAGAGCTCACTGCAGTCATGCTTTGTATGGCTAAGGGCAGGACCATGACCCCACAGAGTCATATTACACAGGTGTACTTCCTCTCTTCCCCTCCCGTTAGAAATACAGGCATTTCTAATGACATTTTTCTGAGGTAGGGTAGAGAATATTCTGGGGGGGGAAAAACCCACAGTTTAATCCACTACACTCATATTTTTAATGCCTATGACAAAACATGTGACATAAATAGTTTTGATTTCTTCTTGTTATCAGATAATTGCGTGGATTGCCTTTCTCTGTTGCTAGTGGGAGTGGGGTTCCTTGGGTACATTTCCAGAGGAGAATGAGATGAAATACGATGATAAAGCCTTCCTGGCCCTAGCCGGTGCTCAGTGGTTAGAGTATCGACCTATGGACTGAAGGGTGCATACCTAGGTCGCAGGCTCTGTCCTTGACCCCCGTGGGGATGTGTGCAAGGGAGGCAACCAATCGATGTGTCTCTCTCATATCGATGTTTCTCTGTCTCTCCCTCTTCCTTTCACTCTCTAAAAACTAATAGAAAAGATATCTTTGGGTGAGGATTAAAAAAATAAAATAAAAGTCTTCCTGTGTGTTTTCTTGCCTGCTGTTGTGGATTTATTGGCACACTCCTTACATTCTTGTTTTGAAACTTGCCATACATTGTGGGGGGTTATTAGAGATTTTTGGCAGAGGTAAGGAAGGAACTGACTGTTCCATCTATTGCAGTGGCTT